GTTTGGCAGGGAACTGGTCGTTGTATCTCTGTCTAGAGCTTGAGGCCATGAATGGAGTTTTGGTAGTGGGGGGACGTGAAGGCTTGAAACATGCAAAATCTTAAAGAACCTGGAGTTGTTATGTGTTGTTTTTGGTGTATTTATGGTTTCATTCATTGTTTTTTATTGTTTATTTATTTTGTTTAACGGATTTATTCATGAATTGGAACTGGCCCGGAAATTGTTTATGATTTTTGATGGCTTTATTCATGAATAATTGGAACTGGCCCGGAATGGCCCGGAAATTGTTTACAGTTATTTTTGCGAGAGCCGACCCTGGCATCCTCTGCCGTTTTTTCTTGGGTTGGTTTGCGGAGGCCTATCCAAAGAACGGTGCGCCCTTCCTGAAGCTCCTTGCCCAACCCTCCAGAGAGCAACTGTCGTGATGCTGCCTCTACATGACGCGGCGGGCAACGAGGAGCGGCCAAATCGTCCAGACACAGGCGATTGCACGTTTGGGGCACGCGCGCGCAAAGGCTGAGAACAATCACAAGTTAAATCAAACCGAATTCGGGGATTCGTTTTCAAATGTCATTTCACAAACCTTTCCAGGACGATAAAATCAATCTTAAACAAATTCACAAACATTTCTGAAACCATAATTTCAATCATAAACAAAATCATAAACCTTCTTGGGGCCATAAAATTAATCATAAACCAATTCATAGATAAACTGAAAATTAATTAAACAATGAAGTCCTGATCAGCCCACGCGCGACCATCTGGAACCCGTTGTTTTTTCCCCCCCCCTCCCCCCGTTAGGTCTTTTTTGTTGTTGGGCCCGTAAAGCTGAGCCAGGCAGACCGGTAAGTAAGTGAACTCCCGTCCCCAGCCCAAACAGCAAAAAAAAACACGGCCCCGCCCCAAACAGCAAAAAAACATGCACGCACCCGCCAAAAAAAAAAGACGCACCCGCCCAGCCAGAAATAAAACATGCCCCTGCCCACACAGCAAAAAAAAAATCCGAAAAGCACAAACAACAAACAAGACCAGACACAAAACATGAATACTCTTACCGGGCCAATCTCTAGTCCAGAGTCATTTTTTCTGAGCCGCAATATTCATGGGTTTTCAATTTGATCACACTCCCTACTAGACATGCAGAGACTTACGCCATCAAAATGCTTGGAATGGAAACGGAGCGGCTGAGTACAACATGTTTTGGAACGCAGCGCGGCGCAGTTGAGCAGCTTTTTTTTCTGCATGA